TGGTAGCCCAGGCTGGCCTCGAACTCACAGAGATCCACCTGCCTCTGCCTCCCGAGTGCTGGGATTAAAGGCGTGCGCCACCACTGCCCGGCTGCATGATTCTTTTTCTGTATTAAGTTTATAATAAGTTTGTCTTGATTCCAAAATACCTTGTTGACACTATTTATTGGGATAAACTCAATTTATAAATTAATTTTGAAAGAATAATACCTTGATAGTACTAAATCTTCTATCTAAAAATAGGGTATGTTTTCTGTTGTATTAATCTCCTGTTATATCTTAAAGGAAAAGTAAAGTTTCAGAGTTCCTTTTTGTTGTTGGTTTTTCGAGACAGGGGTTCTCTGTGTAGCTTTGGAGTCTATCCTGGAACTGACTCTGTAGACCAGGATGGCCTTGAACTCACAAAGATCCGCCTGCCTCTGCCTCCCGAGTGCTGGGATTAAAGGCAGGCACCACTGCTCCCGGCTCAGAGTTGTTTTTGAAGCTTTTTCACTGTTACATTTGTTCTGTGTACTTTATTGTTAGTAGTTTTAGCTTGTTTGTATTATAGTAGGTAGAGTTTTTAATTTTGACATCTTAACTGCTAACTTGCTAAATTCTTATTTTCATCCATTTCTCAGATGATTCTTTTGTTCTATGGCTATGTAATATCTGAAATTTATAAAGCTCTTATCTTTTTAAATTTTATATTTCTTTTTTTTAAAGATTTATTTATTTATTATGTACACAGAGGAGGGCGCCAGATCTCATTACAGATGGTTGTGAGCCACCATGTGGTTGCTGGGAATTGAACTCAGGACCTCTGGAAGAGCAGTCGGTGCTTTTAACCTTTGAGCCATCTCTCTAGCCCTTATATTTCTTTCTTTTACTTTTATCTGCTAATATTGCTGGAATAATGTTCCAGATGATACTCATTCTGTGATGTTCATTTGTTGATTGAGATTTATATTTTAACATGGTGGCCACCCATGTTAGGAGGATTATCTTTCTGGATAATCATTTACTTTCCAATATTGAATTAATAACCCTGTGTTCTGATGTGAATCTTTTCTTAGTTGATGGTAATGAAAACAATTCTGTAGGGGCTGGAGAGAGAGCTCAGTGGTTAACAGCACTTTCTGCCCTTCAAGAGAACCCAGCTGCCTCAAACTCCTGTGCCAGGGTATCCCTTACTCTGACCCACATACCAGCACACACATAGCAATTGCAAAAAATTTATTTGGGCATTTTTCATTTCAGAGAATGAAAACAGGATTCATTGATAATTTGTTGCATTTCCCCCTTAAGATTTTGAAATTGCTATATTGACTCTTTCTTTTAAGTATATGTAAAACTTGAATTAGACTAATTTTGTTAATTAAGATTATTTTCCCAAACTTTTATTTGATTTACTTTATGACCTTGAGTGATAAAATGGGTTTTATGACATGATCTGTGTGCATAAAAATAATAATCAGGTATTTCACAGCCGTATTTACCTGGGACTTTCTAATACAGAATCTGGTATGTTCTACTCCTTTTTTATTTTTCAAATGTTAGTTAAAGCCTACTAAAAATCATAAACCAATCTGCAGAGATGGCTCAGCAGTTAAAAACACTGGCTGCTCTTCCAGAGGATCCAGGTTCAATTCCCAGCCGCCTCCTGATGGCTCCCATCCTCTTAGAACTTCAATTCTAGAGGACCAGATGACCTCTTCTGGCCTCCAAGGCCACAATGCGTGCAGGCAGAATACCTGTACATGAAACTCTAAAACAAACCAACCAACCCAAGCAAAGGTCATATACTGTAGTTTGAGTAGTAACAGTAAGGTAGTTGATGATGAATTTGCTGGTGTGGAGATGCTTCGGGATATGGTCATGAAGAGCTTGTATGCTGTGCTGTACTTGTTAAGTGCATCAGTTAGTGCGCTGTGAGTACGCTGCCTGGCATGCAGCGGGAACTGTGAGCAGTGACTGCTTCCTACTAAGTTTTTAGAAAGTTTTTCTTCCAGTTTCTTTTATTTCCTTTTTGTGTTAAAAATATTAAAGCAATAACCTAACTTGGACCTCTCAATGTGAAATAGTATCGTGTGGTACATAAGGAGAATCACCTGTTACTGAGTCATCAGGGTATAATGTGCTGAGTTCTGTCTTTCTCTTTGTTGTGGTTTTACTCACTCATTTTCCATTCCAGGAATGTCTGAATCTGAACAGGCTCTTAAAGGTACTTCTCAAATTAAATTACTCTCAACTGAAGATATAGAAGGGATGCGACTTGTGTGTAGGGTAAGTTATTTTTTCCTCATGGGTAGAATATAGGGTAAATAGTACAGATAGGAAGTCAGTGATTTGTGGTTTATAAAGCTGTTACTTTGTAAACTGCTACTAGCCACCCCTTTCCTGTACCCATTTTCAAAACATTTTTTATATTTAAATAATCTATTTTAGAATAAAACTAAGAGTGATTCATCTGTAGTCACCATTTTCTTTCATCAACTTTGTATTGTTTATTTGCATAAACATTTACTGAATTGCAAAGACTGAAAGATGAGCACAAGAGCTTACAGTATCCTCCTCCTTTTTTTTTTTTTTGGAGAGAGGGTCTCTGTGTAGCCCTGGCTGTCCTGGAATTCACTCTGTAGTCCAGATTGGCCTTGCACTCACAGAGATTGACCTGTCTCTGCTTCCTGACTGCTGGAATTAAAGGCTTGGCCACCACACTCAACTTTATTTTTGTTTTTTTGTTTGTTTGTTTTTGCAGGATTATTTTTAAAGAGCGAAGTCCTCCCCCCCCCCCCCCCCCCCCCACACACACACATACAGGGTTTCTCTGTGTAGCTTTGCGCCTCCCTGGAACTCACTCTGTAGCCCAGGCTGGCCTCGAACTCACAGAGATCTGCCTGCCTCTGCCTCCCGAGTGCTGGGATTAAAGGCGTGCGCCACCACCGCCCGGCAAGAGTGAAGTTTTTATGGTACTTAGTCATTCTAAGTTTACAAATGTTATAGCACAGGACTAAGTCCAAGGCTCATACAGAGTCTTGTGAGAATCTTATGTTTGGAATATGGATGGGGTTAATTAGATGAAATCACATATTTAAATTTTTCTAAAGAAAAATAATTGATTGTGTTCATTTAGATGTTCATTTAAGGCTTTTGTGCAGCATTTTAAAATTGATTTGATGCTATTTTTTTATTATCTGGAGAATTTTGTATTATGTCTGTTACTTACTATGATTTTTTAAAGGAAATTCATTCATCTTTTCTTATATTTCCTTTCATGCTCCATTTTAGAAATGTAACATTGTCAGTTGATTGTTTATCTATCTTAGGATATAATTCTTCATTAAGTTTACTTATTAGTGTCAGATGGTGGTGGTGCGCACCTTTAATCCCAGCACTCACAGGCAAAGGTAGGTAGGTGGATCTCCAAGTTCAAGGCCAACCTGGTTCATAAAGTGAGTTCCAGGACTGCCTAGGCTGTTACACAGAGAAACCTTGTCTAGAAAAACCAAAACCAAAACAAAAAAAAAAAAAGTTATTAGTAAATCTCTCTATCCCAACTTCTATATAAATTTATTTTTACATACTTTTATAGGTTTCTGACATTTAAATATTGTATACAAAATGATATCATATATTATTTGGCTGATTTTTTTCATGAAATCAAAAATAGTGCAGAGTATAGGTTCTGTTTTATTACTTCTTGAATATACTTATTTTTCAGCTTGCTCGAGAAGTCTTGGATATTGCTGCTGGGATGATTAAAGCAGGTGTAACTACTGAAGAAATTGATCATGCTGTACACTTAGTAAGAGCTTTACTTTTCTTATTTCAGAAGTTTCAATTATTAAAATTTTTAACTTCATTTTTATAATGTCCAAAATAACTTTATTAAGCAAATTTGAAAACTTATTTCTGCATTGTTTCGAATATGGGAAGCATTCTGGAACTATTACACTGGTAAGTATATTCTGCTTACAGGTCTTGGGCATCCAGGCATTCGGCCAGCAGCAACCGAAAATGTTTGGGAAAAAATAACTTTTGTGCAGACATGTTTGTGCTCTTTTATTCCCTGCTACTGTTATCTACATAGGGAGTATTTATAGTGTAATAGGGTCATGGAGTGGTTTAAAGTATAGGGGAGACATGGATAGTATGTGTGCAGACACTGCATTGCACAAAAGACTTGAGTTTCAGATGCTTAGGTGTGACTGTATTTGTGATGCTGAAATCCAAGGGCACTTGAGACATGTTATTCTGAAACCTCAGCCTTTTATCAGCTTTTCTAGAATTGATTAACCAGTACTTCCAATAAAACATACCACTGCATATGCCAGGTGTTCTGAAATACAAAACAAACCGCAGAAACTAGACTAGAAATCAATTTTCCTTTCATACACACAGCAAAAAGGCAATAAACAGATCAGATAGGAAGATCCTGCCTTAGTCAGTGTTGCTGTGAAGAGATGCCATGATCACAGTAACTCTTACAAAGAAAGCATTTCATCTGGCCTTGTTTACAGTTCATTACTGTAGATGTAACCAATCGTCTTTTTAAAATAAGAAACACAGAGCCAATATAAAAGAGAAAGCCGAGAGGTCAGAGCTCAGAGATAAAATCTTACCTCCTGCAGTGCTCCTAGCTTCCCCGAGAGAGAGCTACTTCCTGTTTGTCTGTGTTTAAAT